TGTCATCTAGATAACTTTAAGAGTCATTTTGTGTTGTTTCTTATGACTATACATCAATTTTCCTTGTTGATCATGTTAAGCAAATCTTCAAATAGAAAATAATGCGGGCCGGCGCCGCGGCTCACTAGGCTAATCCTCCGCCTTGCGGCGCCGGCACACTGGGTTCTAGTCCCGGTCGGGGCGCCGGATTCTGTCCCGGTTGCCCCTCTTCCAGGCCAGCTCTCTGCTGTGGCCAGGGAGTGCAGTGGAGGATGGCCCAAGTGCTTGGGCCCTGCACCCCATGGGAGACCAGGATAAGTACCTGGCTCCTGGCTTCAGATCAGCGTGGTGTGCCGGCCGAAGCGCAACTGGCCACGGTGGCCATTGGAGGGTGAACCAACGGCAAAGGAAGACCTTTCTCTCTGTCTCTCTCTCTCACTGTCCACTCTGCCTGTCAAAAAACAAAAAAAAAAAAACAAAAAAAAAAAAACAAAAAAAAACAAAAAAAAAAACTACTTATGAGGGTTAAAGAAGGAATCATAAATGTGTTAGTCTACTGGCTTGTTCATGTGGACACAAGATAGATCCATTAACTAGCTCAATTCTACCCTGTTCTCAGCACAGACACACACACAAAATAATTGAAAGTTATAAATGACTAAAACATAAACCTTAGCTGCCTTGAGTTAAAAATCAATTTTCCTAATAAATTAAATTCAAATAATAGATATCAGTATGTAATATCAAGAATGATGTGGTAATAATTGCCATCTTGGCAGAGTGCAAGGTCCAAGACAGAGGGATATAAAATTTTAGTAATTCAGAAAGTCTGGTACCAAAAGCAGCTTTCACTAGCGGCAGGCTCAGGGTTCAGTTCAGTTGTTGATTGGTCAAGGATGAATGTTCAGGATGTAGTTTGAGTATTAATCACCTATTCAAATAAAAGACAGGAGAACTGGAGAGCTCTCCTGGACTACGTAGTTTATTCCTGAAAACAGAGCTCAGTTTTTCCCTTTATGTATTCCAGAGCCACTTCAGTATTTTCCCTACTACACAAGTAACCTCCTTGGGAAGTATTTTTCTAGCGTCACTCTGTATCAGCTATAATCTTTTGGGCAATAATTTACCTAAGCTTTTGCTGATATGACTTATCAGCTTATTCATGCTGCCCATTCAAGTTTAAGCTTTATCTTTCATTCTAGCCAGCAAGAATTTTGGTTTACTTAGGAGTATTCCATTGTGTATTCACATTGGGTAGTATTGTGTGAGGAAGCCACTGATTATTTATCCATTTTTACTGGCTAGTGTCACTAACATCTGAAAAGAAGCATTATATAGGTACTCATAGACACAGAACTACCGTATACATTTCGTCCTTTTGTTGAATTGTAATATACTTAGAAAGATGCATTCATCCTTATAACAAGGCTTGGTGAATTCTCACAAACAGCACACCAACACCCAGGTCCAGTCACGGAACATGCAATGACCAGCTCCCCAGAGGCTCTACTTGTACCTGCTCCCATTCGTTACCCTCCTTTCAAGGGACAGTGGTTCCCATTATCCCTTCTTGTAACAGCATAAATGGGTGCTGCCTGTTTCTCTATTTTGTGTAGGTGGAATCCTACAAGATACACTCTTACAAGTCCCTCTTTTCACACATGGAATATTTGTGAGATTCCTATGTTACTATTTTTGGAAATAGATTGTTCAATCTTACGTTGTAGAGCATATGAATATACTACCAATTATTATCCGTTTTACTGTTGATGAGGATGAATGTTTGGGTCATCTCTAGTTTGGTAGTTGTTATGGATAGTGTTGCTGTGACTGGTTTTATTATGATGACTTGTATACAGCTGATATTGGTATATTCCTAAGAGTAGAACTGCTGGGCCATGGGCTTTTCATATATTTCACTTTAGAGATAATGCCTAACAGTTTTCCAAAGCGGTTGTGCTATACCTGTAGTAGCATTTGACTTCTTGAGGAGCAATCTCAGCATAAATACTTATGAAGAGAACAGGTTTTAGAGTAACTGAAACCAAAGCTGACTTACCACCATACAGCTATGCTACCTTGGAGATGCTGAACTTCAAGCCTCAGTTTATTCAACTGTAAAACAGGTACAAGATAATAAAATCTCATTTTAAATTATGTATGAGAATTCAGTGAGATCTCTCTTTTTAATATTTTACTTAGAACAGTGCCTGGTACATGGTAAATATTTAGCTTATTATATGGTAGTCATTAATCACTCATCAGTAATTAAAACAGCCAGAATGGAGAATTAGACACAAAGATTCACAATATAATCCCAAAAAACAATTTTAGTTCTCTGATGGAAGAAAATTATGAAACTCTGACCCAAAAGGCATTACCAATTCCAGTGAGTACTACACTTGGACTCTGAAAAAAATCATTTAAACATTATCCCAAAATGCGTTTGCAAATTACTCTTGCCAGAGGCAACGTTCTTGGATGCAGTGTATTACCATTCATTTTTTTCCTACCAGACATTACTCTTTAAAGACAGGACTGCCAAGGGCTACCCTGGAAAGTTACTAATATAATACCTTTTATTATATTTGCCAATTTCACACCTTCCTCAACCCAATCCCTAAAGTTGTTGAAAAGTGACTGCAATTGCAACATGAGTTCCCAGTTTTCCTGGAATCTTATCAGCACCTAAAACAAATTTCACATCCCTTTAAAAAAAAAAAAAAACTAAAAATGATTCCAAGTCCTTGCTTTAAATGACAGAGAATTTCTCTTTATTTTGTAGGATGAGCTTGATAACCTCAGTGTGGACTTTTGCTACTACCAGAACGGCCCCCTAGAAGTTAATACAGGTACATTCTGTACAGAGGCACTGTTTCAGCTAATTGTCCCAGGGGCAACAGGCTCAGTCACCTTAGGTAATTTTGGAAGGTGGCATTGTATTCTTAACACATGGAATCAGATCCCGTGTAGCAGTCACTATTCTCAAGAAAGCAAGCTCACAGCCAACTTGCAGCGATGTCATCTCTGAGAAAGTCAGTGATAGATATGAAAGGGAACTTTTTGAACATTTAATTGAAACTTCTTGATTTACAAGACAAGAAAACCCCTAATTTAGAAGTCTTGCCTCAGGTCAAATGGTGGCTTCCCTAGGCAGAGAGCTTGTCTTTTCATTCACAGTCCAGGGGATGGTCCCCTCTGTTTCTGACACCTTGCACTCCCGCTCCTCAGTGCCTCTTCCATCCCCAGACCCCCTCCCTGCCTGGATTTCATAAAGACCCAGATCTGGGATCCAGAAAAGGCAAAGCTGAAGGAGTGGGACTTACAAACAAGGCAATGACAAACCATTAAACTACCAGGAAGCAAAAAGATGAGAGAGGCTTGCCCGTTAGAACCTTGGGTCCAAGAGAGAGGACATTGTCCCTGCGTGTTGCGGTCCACTGTGTTCCCAGCATTTAGAACTGTGCCTGACAAAGCTCTGGTCACTGTTAAATGAAAAAAATAAAAACTCAACCTTGAGTATGTCAGGTTGTGAGAGGCGAAAACAAGCGCCTTTTCTCTCTCCCTTCCTTAAAACATGCGGAATTGGGGGTGGGGGGAATCACCCTAAAGAGGAGCAATCACGCATCAAGTGTTCCAGCACTGTGCCTGGCCCAACGGCAGGAAATTGATAATCTCTCAGTGTTTCCCCCGTCTTCCACCCCAGGCATGGGCTATGCAACTCGGGGTGACGCGTGTCACGCCGCGGTGTCCACGTGCCTGGATCAAGTAAAGCGAGCCATCTACGAGCCCGGAGACAGGGTCTCCCCGGTCCGTAGAGATCAACTCCAGCCCTTCTCCCCCCTCCCCCGCTCGCCCCGTACTGCTCTTTTCCTCGGGGAAGTCGATCGCTTTTGAGGATCGATTCTGGGCTGCAGTCAGTCCTTTCACAGAACTTTGCGTAAGCATCGGCTACACTGCGGCGGCGGGAGACGGGGCAGCGGTGGGAAGAGCAGGCAAGCCCCCTCTTAGCCCTGCACCCCTCTAAAGTGAAGAAAGTCGGCGCGGGGAGGGGCTGCGGTTTGCGGGTCTAACGGGTGCTCCGGCTGGGGCTGTCCCGGCCCCTCCAGCCCCGCCCCGTCGCCCGCCGGGGTTCAAGTTCGTCCCCCGCCCCACACCCACCTGGCAGCGCAGCCTCGCGCTCCCGAGTCCGCCGCCCCCCGCGCGTCCCCAGGGCCTCGGCTGCAAGGCCAGGGGCTCGGGGTCACCCGGGCGCGAGGTCACTCGGCCACGCACGGTGGAACCACGTGGGAGAAAAGTTTCCAACTCGGCCCGCCCGCCCTTGCCGGGGCGCCCTGGCGGAGTAGAGGCCCGCGCTCGGGCACCCGCTGCCGGGCCCGGCGCCTCCACGCGTTGCACCCCCCACCCCCTTTTGGGGGACGCCCGCCTCGGGCCCCTTGGTCTGGAGTCCCTCCTGCCCTCGCTGAGCAGTTCACGAAGGGCAAACACCCCCGGGGACCGGGGGCAGCTTCTCCAGAGAAGGCAGCCCAGGTGCCCTGGGCGGGACAAGGGTAAACGAGGTCGAGGGCCAAAGGGTCCTGAGGAAAGTGCGGGGGGCGCGCGCGCGCGCGCACAGCGTCCAGGGGCAGTGGCAACCCTCAGGCGGCCCGGGCGTGACTGGCAGGACCCTCTCGCAGCTTGCACAACCTCCCGCGTCAACTCCGCCCGGCAGCGGCCGACCCCACGCGGCCGGCCCCCTCCCACCCGCGGCTCCCCTCCGCCCCCAGTGCGCAGGCCCGGCCGCCCCAGCGCGCATGCCCTGGGCTCGCGAGCGCGGCCAGCCCCCAGCCTTTTGCTTTCTACACACTCTACAACTGGGGAGGGGGCGGGGGCGGAGGAGGGAGCCCGGCCGCCCACGTGATCCAGACGGCCGGGGCCGCGGGGGCGGGAGCGCGCGCCGAGCGAGGCGCGGGGAGAGCGGGTGCGCGCGAGCGCGCGCGCGGGGCTGGGCTGAGGCGGCGGCGGCGGCGGCGGCGGCGGTGGGCCGGCCGCGGAGGGGGGAGGAGCGGGAGCTGAGCGAGGCGGGCGGAGGATGGGGCCGTGCCCGGGCTCCCGCTGCAGCCGCCCGGGGACACGCCGTGCACCCTCCGGCTCGGGGCTCTCGCGGCGGCGGCGGCGGCAGCAGCAGCGTTAGCGGCGGCGGCGACAGCGGCGTTCCCGGCAGCGCTTCTCCCTCGGGCTGGGCGACGAGAGGCGGCAGCGGCGGCGTGAGGCGGCGGCGGCGGCGGCACACCGGTGTCTCTCCCGCTGGAGATTTCTTTCTGCTTTCCTCATCGACTGACTGGCTCACCCCCTCCCTTTTCCGAGGAAGGGTGACCTCTTCTCCGGGACTGGAAAACATATTTTTGTGAGCAGGGGGGCGGGTGGCAGCGTCGGGCTTCGCTTCTTCTCTTCTTTCATCTCCCTCTCCTCCCCCCTCGAAGACCGAAAAGCAAACCCCACAACTGCTCCAGCATCCTCCCTGCCTTCCCTCCGCCTCCCCTCGCCTCCACCTCTCGGCAGTTTCGCCCTCTCCGCTGCTAATGATCGCATTATTATGCTTCCCTCTCTCTGGGGGGGTCTCGCCCCTCTCCGCTCTCGCGCCCGAGCCCCGGCCTCCCTTGCATGCATTTCTTGAGAATTTTGGAGCCTGGGAGTGAGTTTGCTCCGAGGCGTGCGTGAGAGGCGGCGGGGGTGTTTTCCTGCGCGAGGGGCGGGTGAAGTTCATTGCCCCCCACTTTGCCGCGCGACCTTTTTTTTTTTTCCCCCGGACCTGGTTTGGGGGTCGCCAGAGGGGAGGGGGCGCAGGCGCTTTCGGAGGGGGGGCGGGGGGCGCGGCGGAGAATGGCCGCGGGGAGGGCTCCCCGGAGGCTCCCAGTCTCTTGATCAAAGCATTCCGCTATTCTGATTTATTGCCTGCTTGGTGAGTTATTTTTTTTTTCCCTCTAAAGGAGACCTGTGTGTTCAGCCATTACTTTGCTCGCTCCCAGGCATCTCCGACCCTCGGTGCTGTGGGGAGCCCCACACTTGGGCTCCTCGCCTCTCGCCCTCGCTCCCCGTCCCTCCTCCCCTCTCTCCGCCCCTTCCCCCTTTTCTTTCTCCGCTCTTTCTTCCCCTCTCTCCCTTCTTTCGGCCGCCGTCTCCCCCGCGCCCTCCTCGGGGCGGAGGGAAGCCGTGAAGGGGGAGGGAGGGCTTGGTGTCAATTTTGTGTGTGTGTGTGTGCGTGTGTGTGTGTGTGTGGCCGCGCGGCCGGAGCCTGTGGCGGGCGGGCGGGCGGCGAGCGAGGAGACCCCGGCGCGGCAGAGCCATGGATGGCCCGACGCGGGGCCATGGACTCCGCAAAAAGCGGCGGTCGCGGTCGCAGCGAGACCGGGAGAGGCGCTCCCGGGGCGGGCTGGGGGCCGGCGCGGCCGGCGGCGGCGGGGCCGGCCGGACCCGGGCGCCCTCGCTCGCCTCGTCGTCGGGCTCCGACAAGGAAGACAATGGAAAGCCCCCGTCCTCCGCCCCGTCCCGGCCCAGACCCCCGCGGAGGAAGCGGAGAGAGTCCACGTCGGCCGAAGAGGACATCATTGATGGATTTGCCATGACCAGCTTTGTCACTTTTGAAGCGCTGGAGGTAAGGGGGACCCCCTCCCCCCCGGTTTCCCTTTATGCACGACCCCACTCGGCTGCGCCCGGCTTTCCTGCCTCCGCCGCCGTGCTCGGGGCTGTCTGTCTGTCTGTCTGTCCAGGCTGAGGTCTTTTTGTTGGGGTGGGGGGAGCAGGGGGCGCGGGCAGACAGGCAGCAGGAGGGAATCGCAGCCGTGCCTGGTCTCGTTTCCTCGTTCTCGCTCGCCTTTCCCCTGCGCCCCCTCCCTGCATCCCCCCAACCCCACAGCAGATGGGCAGAAAGAAAGGGGTTCAGGCATCACAACAATGCGCCCCCTCTCCTCGGATAGCTCTGCCCCTGCTCCTTCCTCCCCTCCCTCCCCAATCATGGCTTCTTGGCTGGTGGAAGTCTCTTTGCTGGGTTTGGGGCGCCTGTAGACGGCTCTGTGTGCTTTCTACAGAGCCATATGTCCGAATGTGTGTGTGTGTGTATGTGTGTGTGTGTGTCTGTAGTATGGACCTTTCCTGGATGTCCTCAGGACCCGAGACTGATGGGGTTTTGTGGTGTCTTTGCCACCCCCTCCACCGCCTTTTTTTTTTTTTTTGGTGAAGCTGGGGAAGGGGGCGTTTTCTCCTGGTTGGGAGAAAGGAGGGAGGAGGGGAGAGAAGAGGAAAGGATGGAATATCTTTCTGTATTCTGTATGGGCTATATTACAGAAAGGGTTAATTGTAATATTATCTATGCACATGTGTGTGTGTGTGTACATGAGCAATTTAGTTAAAGGATGGAAAAAGGTACACCAGGGAGAACTGGTGGGAGGAAAGAATAAAATCCTAGCTGGTATCTGAAGAGCTTGTCACCAATTGTCCCTCTCCCTTTCCTTTTTTGTGTTTTTTTTTTTTCTCCCCTTTTTCTAAGTGATTGGCTTTGTGTGTGTGTGTGTGTGTGTGTGAGTGTGTGTGTTTCTCTTTATTCCTTGGGCACCTGCAGGCAGCGTTGATTTCTAAATGAACATGATGGAGGGAGTGGGAGACTGTCCAGGGGTTAGGGGGAAAACTATCTTTGCCTGGACACATCTGATTTGGTGCTAGGATTGGTCATTGGGCTCTGTAAATTTAACCATCTCCTTCCCTCTCCCTACCCTCCCTGTCCCCACCCCCAAAACACACACACACACACACACACACACACACAGAGGCTTTGAGATTCTGCAGAGTTGGTCTCGCTTTCTTAAGCCCAAAACCAAGATATGAGTTGATGTTTAGCCTTTGATATGCCTAATGTGATGGTTTGAGATTCCTGAAGGAAACTTTTCCCTTTCATTTCATTTTTTTTTCTTTCTGTTGTGATGGTATTGTCTCAGATGCTCAAATGCAAGCTTTATTAATGACAGCTTAAATCTCACTGTACAGGTTTAGGTGGCTGTTTCTGTGTATGTGTTTGGTCTCAGATTGAAGTATTTTTGAAAAGAAACTCTTCTTGTCAGTGTTGTTCTTTTCTATTTGAATTGCTTTTGGTTGGTCTGCTGGCCAGTGATTGGAGGAAGGGAGGTGGTGGTGGTGGTGATACTGTTGGTGACCATAGATTTTTTATATATGTCATTCTAGAATTGATGCTTTCTTGGCTAAAATTTTGAATGATGAGGCTCACTACTCAGTAGAATAATTCTAACTGTGGCTTTAACTTTGCCAGGGTGGGTGTGTAAAGTGTGATCTATCTATCTATCTCCCTCTCTCTCTATTTCTCTCTCAAATAGAAATTGAAATGGCAGCATGTATCCTAATAGAAAATACTGCCTGGAATTTGGATCTCTATGGTTATCTGTGGTTGGTTTAAGGAAGTACTTGTAAGAGCTGTTTACAAGTGGTTCTGCTTTCTGCATGGTTATCCTGGGCTGCTGTGTGAGCCTTTTCAGTAAGCAAGAAGGGCCTCAAGATTTCCATGAATATTTCTGAAAGCCAAATAGGGAGAGATATAATTAGGTAGATGCTTTTGATTGTTTATTTTTTATAAATCATTGTTTGACTGGGCTCGTAATGTATGTATCTATCCATTTGGATTTTGAGAGAAAACTTGCCCATTCTAGTTTCTTTTGAGCATACAAAAACTTTTCATTTTTAAAAAAGACCAAGTTCAACATTAATAGCATTCCTTCTCTTGCTGTAATTGTTTTTTGCCTGCCACTTTTCTAGATTCAGAACCCAGGTTGCTTGGGTTAGCTGAATACTGTGCCACCTTCATATCTGAATGTCGTGTGTATATTTGTGTATGCATATAAAAGGCCTAACTTTTTAAATTGATTTAAAATTTTATAGAAAAATGTGAACATATAGAGAAGTAGAACAGTGTAATAAATCCAAATACATCCACTGCCAACTTACATCTCTTGTTTCTTCTATTTTCTATCTACTCAGTCCCCCACCATGTGATATGATCTCATCTGTAAATATTTCCGTATGAATCTCTAAGCCATGACTCAAAGAAAAAAATTCCAAAAAACCCACCAGAAACCCCACAATATCTTTATCACTCCTAAATACATTAACAAGTTTCTTAATATCATCAAACATCCTATCAGTGCTCCCATTTTATGAAGCCCAACTTTTGTGGGAAAGCTGTAAATAAACTTTTCAGATTAAAAACACTTTGGGAAATAAAAATCATCCCATGTGTCTGGTGCTTTGGCAGAAGGTAGATATGTTGGCTCCTTGTTATCACATTGTGTCTGTGCTGGGTGGTCAGAACATATGTGTGTAATGATCATTAAAACCTCTGGTGTTCTACCGTACTTAGTTGTACTTGGTGAACTATCACCAAGAAATGCAAGGGCTTATTAGGAAATTGGCAACTAAGTTATGAGCTTGGACAGAAATATTTGTTTCATGAGTGTTTGTAAATGTTAAGAATTATTGTGGATGCTAAGAGTTATCCCAAATATATACTGTGTTTTTGTGAGTTGTATTTAGAAATGAAAACAATTGTCACCATGTATCATCAAGGCTGCTGCTGCTATGATGTTGTGATAAGAAACCAGAAATATTGACTTGCACAGCTAGGCTTATAGCTTATGCCAGTTCAGAGGAGTAGCTGGCAAACTGTGGAGTAGCATACTTGTGTGTTAATGGACACACTGACTTCATGGTTTTGTTCTGAGTAGCAGTTTTGAACTTCCTTTTTAAATAAAAAGAGGCTCCTAATTCACTATGTGCTGATATAAATAGTACACTCTAGCTAAGTTTTTTTGTATAAAACTAGTGAACTTGTCTAATGAAAAGCTGCATTTTTATGTTGATTATTCTTCACTGTTGTTGAATTCTTACCTAAGATGGTGAAATCTTAGGAGTAGTTTGACAGGCTTCATACTTTATTGGCAGTGAAACTGGCCTAGGTAGTTTCATATTCTGCAGGGACACTCGACTTGAGTAATTGCGCCCTGTAGTTCAAGTGTGTGATTATGAAGAGTCTCATGATAGAAGATAAGAGGATAGGTGAGGAGGCTAAAGTTGAACTTGGTGTCTTTTCCTTATGCAGTTGAGAAGCAGAATTAGTGTTTGGATATGCTATTGTTTATTTGGATACTTGTTGAATGACAGAATGAGAGCAGATACCCTCAGGAAGGCATGCCTAGTTAACAGATTACAAATGAGAGTGTTGAAGATCCTGCATTAGGCTATCCTGATGTACCAGAACTTGGCTTTCTGTTCTTTTCTTTCAGTGTAGTCTTTAATAGGAAGCCATCGCTGAAAATTTGACTTTGCAAATGCTTTAGTTGTCCCTTCACTTTTCTTTTGTGTACAAGGTTCTTAGAATGGCCTCTTTTGGTACAGCTGATCAAAGGAAGCAAAGACAGTATTGGTGGAATTAGTGGAATTAGTGGACAAGAGGGCTAGTGGGAGCCTTACAGCCTTGGGAAAAATGAAGGCTTATTTCTGGTGGGTAAAGGAACAACCCGAGTCTTTGATGTGGTCATCATTTCCTAGCTCTGGTCTAGGTCTTACCCACACATCAGTGGTGTAAGTAGGCTGTACAGAATTTGATGTACTTATAACACACCATGTTAATAGGTTTCAATAATTTATTATGATCAAATGTCACTTATTCAATCATTTTTAAAACAATATTAATCATATTCCTTACATTAATTGTCAAATATTTATGGAGTGCTTAATATATGCAAGGCACAGAGAAACTGTACACACACACACACGCACACAAAAATCATCTTGAAGAAGTGTGCAGTTTAGTTGGTAAATCAAGTTCAGTATCTATAAAATAATTTTGAAACAACCCTTGAATGCTTGCTATCAATTAAGTGCAGTAGGCTTTTAGGGACAGGGTACTAAGATAGGTTGACACATTTAATATGTCTTCATGGAGATGAGGCCTAAAAGGATGAAGTGTGATTTGGATAGAGAAGGAATAGGGCACAGGGAGAACATTTCAGAGGAGTAGTGAAAGGACACAGAAAGAGGATCATTAGACGATGTGGTGTGATTAGATTAGGATGTGGGGGGGCAAAAAAGGGTAGGGAGAAATGCATACAGAATGAGTAAGAGTGCTTGATTGAGGGTCAGGAGATCTGTGGAGACCCATGTTCCTGCGGTGGACTTTTAACCAGTCCTTTCCTTGAGAAGTTACCGCCTAAAATAGCATCATTTTCTAGTGGAGAGGGTTAGGCTAGTTTAGAGCAAAGGTTCTTAAGCTGTAAGGGACCATCTATTTGCAAGATGTCCATAGATTGTATTCCAGGCAAAAATGGAGTGCTATACCTTTTGATATCTTTTGGAACTTGATGGGCTAGACAAAATTAATGAATGATTTGTTCTGCCAGAATAAAAGTCTTTATTATGTGGTTGTGAATTTTGAATGTCAGATAAAGTAATGCAGCGTGCCTTATTTCCTAAATTTATTTGACCACAAGACACTTTAATTCTCATCATTGTAGTCTGTAACCCAGTATGGGGAATACTGGAAAAGATCTCATAAAAATCCCACCAGATTTTGGCATTTAGTGACCTGTGGGGTCT